CCCCCCCCCGCACATGCAATCATGATGCCTATGAGTCAGCAATCAGTAGTCGAACCATTACGGTACATGTGCTCATGCTCCACGACTCATAGGCATCAGTGCGGTTGTAATAGGTCCTACTTGCAAGCCCCAACGACTTAGGCACAGCCAAAGTTCAATCAAACACAATGCTTCTGATACGTTTACATAATGTTGTGCATTTATAGACATGACAAGAAATCCATCGAAAGATTTCAAATTTTGTTCTCTTCTAAGCCATTCCAATCAGTAGTCCATTGATTTACTCACATTACAGTCAACAGATCTGCTTCGCTCACAAATGTCTTCCTATAGTCACAGAATAGGCGATCATTCCTATAGTTTATCGCTTCGTGCTTCGGTTTGCCATTGAAGAACTGAAGATTTCAAATTTTTAGGTCGGTCCTGTCTTACATAAACGAAAATGTTTCTCACCACCAGATCTGCAAAACATCCTTTCCCATCAGTCTCGCCACCAAATCTTTTCTGGTAGAAACCCTGGAACGATGATTCAGAAATTATAAATGCAAGAAAGAAGATGAGCTAACATCGCGATTTTCCAAAAATTCGAAAGATAAAAGATAACGGTAGCCAATGCCAGCACGCATTTCCCATTCGCACCTGAAATTTAATTATCTGGTGGAGAGTTTTCAGGAGAGCTCTTACCTGACATGAGGCAGCAATCGCCCTGGGTAACCAGGGGTTGTAAGCTGTCCCTCTTGGTCAGTAATAATTCCACCACAAGCTGTAAAAAAAGCTCATTTTGCTGGTCACGATACGCCAAACTGCAGATTACTTACATTCATTGCTAACTTTCAGCATCATCTCAAATCCACACTTCTTATCCTTGCATAGTTGTCTGCCAGCTTTCTGAAAAGTTGCCAGAAAATCTCACAAAGTCCTTAAGAAAATTCTTGTTGTATTTTCTACCTGTATAGTTCCATTTGACCTGAACTGCACGGTCATTTCACTGCTAGCCGAGCGATAGTCAACTTTGTTCAGATATCGACCATTGCATTGTGGTTCAAGAAGGTATGGGGCTAAAAAAAATTTTCATTCAGGTGGAAAAGGGAAAGAGAGAGAAAAGGTCATGATATTGCACCTGTTTTGTTTCCATCACGAATTGCTAGGCTATCCGTGGAGCAATTGACATTCCACGTAAGACCCATGTGTAGAATTCTAAAGTGTACTGAGGAGTGCGCTTATCTTTTTTGATTTTTATCTGGTACGCCCGGAGGCGCGCTTCAACACAACAAACACCACAAGTAGTAGTAAAATAAACGACAAGTGTTAGTGCATTTTTTATAATATTTTGACAATTTTGACTTTTTTCAGGCTGGTATCATTTTTATACTAGAGTTTGCTGACACTGTGGCTGGCTCCGCCTCTCTACAACCCGAATGGCTAGCTCTGCCCCTCTGCAACCGAATGGCTGACTCCGCCCCTATAGGACCCCACTGGCCGACCCCGCCCATTTCACATTCACAGAAAATCAAGTGATATGCATAAAAAGTTTTGGAATTAATGAAAGCGTGTTATTTGCATAATATCATATAAGGTTGAAAATCTTGAATTTTCGTTGTTTTTAAAAATTGTTTTTTTTACCGTTTTCCCCAAAAAACTACAAAACATACTTAGCCTCCACCATGTGGCTATTCGGTGTTCGTACAGACCAGTCACATTCAGATTTGAGTGGGTAGACGTCTGGGTAATTTGGTGATGTCAGTGTCTGGTTGACTCCAGGTCGAAGTACTACCGTACCACCGCAGGATGCTTAAATGACATGATATCAATAACAGTAATGTATATCTCTCCAACCCGCTTGCACCTACCCAATTCGTAGATTGCGGTAAAACCGTTACTAGCAGCATACGAATCCGTCCTTATTCGTACAAACAGGAAGTTACCCGTAGAATATATTGTAGACGGTGCATAGACGTTACAGTATCTGGAAATGTTGATGAGCAAGGATGGCCACCTAAACACAGTTCCTGCAGTTCCATAACAAGACTTTTCGCTCTTCTGATGTTCGCGTGAAGAAGTTCACTCAAGAGTGGTGTAGTCACACCAATCACAACAAATTTTACGCTTACCTGCCAATAAGTGGAGCATGCTCCGTTGGTCCATCACGGATTTCAAGCCAATCGCATTCATCGCAACCACAACTGAAATTTTCTAACATTACTCATAGAAGCATTGAAAAATGTTTTTCGTAAGAAATCCTTTCGGTTTTGAAATTTCGTGTCGATTGTAGACCATTTCCCATCTTTGATGCAGACTAACTTTGGTCAAAAAAATTGTTTTTTTGTTAAGAGAAGTATGGTCAACTCCGCCCCCCGCCACAACTTATTGGCTGGCTTATCAATGACTTTTTGGACACTTGCTCTTACCATTATTACAATTATTATGGTTCTTATACTAAAACCTACTCATCATCAGCAGATTCCATTTTGAATTTTTCCGGATCGACTGTAAATTTGAGCCTGTGGCCATTTGGTGCACGTAAAGTATACTGACAATCCAGCGAATGTGGTATCACTGTAAAAAATTTTAATAGAGTGAAAGTTACTCCGATAAGCGTTGTCGGTGCCAGCGTCGTGCCATCGTGGTTCCAGCACCGTGCTGAAGCCGTGCCAGAGCCGTGCAAGCGAGATCCATTAATCAATAAGCCGTGTAGATTCCGGCACGATTCTAGCACGGAGCTGGCACGGCCTTAGCACTAAAGTACGTTTAACGCAGCATCAAAATCTAGCTTACTTCCAGGATAGCGGGGTGTGGCTAGAACCTTCCTAGGTTCACCTTCATCTACAAACAAGTTTTCGGAACTGCAGTCCTCGGATATTTCAAAAATGCGCATTTTGAAGCCCTGAAAGTTTAGAATTTATATCAAGAACAAAAATTTCACTACCATACCTTATTTTTCTCCTCGGAATTAGTGTATCTGATAAAGATGCGACCATTTTGCATAGTTCCATTACGAGTCGTCAGCGATTCAAATGGACCGCAGAACGTCGACTCCTTCTTATGATGTATGGAAAATTGTGAAGAACGTGGAGACTGGAAAGAGATCTTGAGCAAAAGTAATTTAGAAATTTCGCATAGAGGTACTTACGACTGAAAGAACATCAGTAGTACAAAACTCAGACTGTTCCAAGTCCAGGTCTAAAATCTCATAGCCAATTCGTCTGTTTGAGCCGAGTACGATGGACCACATACATCTCTGCAAAATGCTGATTTTCACATCACTTTGGCCCATCGAAGCCTCGAAATTTTTGAGAATAGTCTGGCTCCCAACGCCCCTTTCCTAACCTTTGACTTTCTGAAGAACAGAGAAATGCAAAGATTATATAAGAGAAATGTATGAATTTTTTTCAAAGATTTATACAATTGGTAAGTTAGATAATT